TCTTTTTGAGACAGGGTCTCCCTGTAGCCCCAGCTGTCCTGGAACTCACTATATAGACCAGGCTACCCTTGAACTCACAGAGATCCACCTGCCTCTGCTCCCGAGTGCTGGGATTAAAGGCTTGCACCATCACACCCGGCATGAATTTTAGGATTTTTAAAAAGTCCTATTCTTTTTATGTGTGGATTCTCTTAGACTATCTATGTAAACAGTTTCGTGACTTTCAATCTTTACCTTTTTTTCTGGTGCTAACTTTTCTTGCTGAGGTCTCAGTCCTGACTAGAAGTGCTGAGCATGCTCTTCAACTTCAAATGGCATACTTTTAGTGTGTCAGCATTAAGCATAATGCTTTCTACAGGATTTGAAAACATATCCTTATGAGCTTAAAGAATTGCCTTTCTCAGCTAACAACTGTCTGTAACTCCAGTTCCAGGGGATCCAACAGCCTCTCTGTCCTCCTTGGGCATTGCACGACACTGGTGCACTTACTTACATGCAGGCAATACATGTATATAAATATAAAATGAAAATGAAAAATATATTTAAAAAAAAGAATTTCCTTTCTGTTCCTACTTTTCAGGAACATTATGCCACAAAAAAATACCAATTTTGCTAGCGGGCTTTTTTATTTTTTGAAGTTGTATGAGTTTTAATCTGGAGTCTCACTGTGTTACCCACACTGGTCTTGAACACCTGGGTTCAAATAACCTTCTTACTTCAGCCTCTTGAGTAGCTGGGCCCACAAGGTACAGGCTACCAGATTTGATGTTTAGCCATCCTCATGGGACTTGTATATTGTATATTACTGAATTTGGTTTACTGATACTTGGTTTAGAATTTTTTTAAACCCTTACAAGTGTGCTTGACCTTGTACATTCCTTTTCTTGACCTATATTTATGCCTGCATGTATATAAGTGCACGTGTGCACGTTTGTCACGCAGTGCACGTGGAGGACAGAAGATGGCATCAAATCCTCTGGAACTGGAGTTAAGGATTGTTGTTAGCTGCCATAGGGGTGCTGGGATTCAAACCTGGGTCTTCTGCAAGAGCAGCCAGTGCTATTAACCACTAAGCCATCTCTTTAATCCTTGTTGTTTTTTAAAGGTAGTAGTTTTCTCCTTTTCTCCCTCGCCCCTCCCTTTTTGAGGCAAGGTCTTGCTATCTCTATGTAGACCAGGCTGGGCTCAATCTCACAGAGCTCCCGAATGCTGGGATTAAAGGCGTGCACCACTGCCCAGTTCAGGTAGTTCCATTTTATTGTCATAACTTTTTCTTCATGATCCTTTTTTTAAATTTATTTTGATCTTTTTGAAACAGGGTCTCCCTGTAGCCCTAGCTGGCCTGGAACTCACTGGCCTCAATCCACTTGCCTCTGTCTCCTAAGTACTAGGATTAAAGGCATGTGCCACCACACCCAGCATGATTCATATAGTTTTTTGCTTTTTTTTTTTTTTTTTAAATTTTTAATTTATTTTATTTTCTTATTTTTTTATTTTTTTGGTCTTTTTGAGACAGGGTCTCCCTGTAGCCCCAGCTTTCCTGGAACTCACTATGTAGACCAGGCTGGCCTTAAACTCACAGAGATCCACCTGCCTCTGCCTCTGGGATTAAAGGCGTGTACCACCACGCCTGGCCTTAATATTTTTATTCTATGTGTATTGCCTGCATGTATGTAAGTGCACCCATGTCATGCAATGCCACGGAGGTCAGAAGAGGGCTTCGGGTTCCCCTGGAACTGGAGTTAAAAGGACAGTTCATAGTCACCATGTGGGTGCTGGGAATCGAACCCGAGTCCTCTGCAAGAGCAGTCAGTGCTCTTAACTGCTGAGCCATCTCTCCAGCCCCTCATATTTTTTTTTTTAATGCAAATAAGATTAGCTTTTCACGTTATGTCGGGGACTGGCACTAAAAATTTTCAAGGCCAGTGAGGTGGCTCAGAGAGACACTTGTCACCATGCCTGACAATCTGAGTTTGATTCCTTAGGACCTACATGGTAAAAGGAGAGAACCAACACCCCTAAGTGGTCTTCTCACCTCCACATCTGCATCATGGCTATACATTCACACACGAGAGTGTGTACACACACACACACACACACACACACACACACACACAAGTAAGTATAATTTGAAAAAATTAAAAACATTTTTCAGGCTGAAAATGAGTTATACAAATGAAAATATTAATCTAGTAGAAATCTAATTATCAAAATGAAAGCACTCAGCATATTAAAAATGAGTAATTATTTGTACAGAGCATATTTAAAAAGTCAGCTTGCTATCCAGCTGTTATGATTTTTAAAGAGCTATTGCAGAAATCTGAAGAAAATAGATTAACCTAGAAAGATCAAAGAGCTTGAAACAAGTATTAAAACAATGTTTGCCTTTATTAGAATGGTAGTCAAATTATGGGTTTTTAAAATAAGAAATGGCTCTACAGAACTGTAATGCTGTTCCAGTTGTCTTGTCTCTTAAAGCAAGAAACAGAATGTGAGTAATGTGCACTAGCAGGCATTAGTAGTCCAGGAGACTGGCTTCTGAGTTCCTGAGACACTTGGGAGAGAAGGCCATTGATGAGCGAGGGAGAGGGGATGGAAGAAGTAGTTCATAGCAACCGGAACCCAAGAGTAGACACACCAGTTCTCATGAGGGTGTTTGTTGGATTCAT